TAATATATGGACTGATTTTCCATAATTTCGCGTATGCATATAATGTACAGTGTATTTTTTGTCACCAACTGTGTGTATATCGTGTTTTGTGTGCGGAGGAGCGATCAGAAACGGCAGAGTACAGACTCCAGGGGAGGCAGGCAGTTCTCTTCCCTCATGGCAGGGGGCGCTCATGATCCCAGATATTGTGACTCCACAACTGCAGAGTAAGACACAGTGAGCTAGCCATGGAGCTAGCTACACAGTAAATAAGTAAAGTACAGCGATATATTTGTTTTCTCCTCTCTTCCGACGTCAACATGAAAGACCACATTTCTACACTTTAACAGTTTTCTGAAGTGGATTTTCAATTGAAGCAGGAGATAATAACTAAAGGAAGAACAACACCGGAGCTGAACGTTTTGCTTCGAGACAGTTTGATGATTCTTTAACGGAGTAGAAAAGACATGCCGAGGATAGACTTGGCTTTGGATGAACGGATATTTTTGTGCACAATTAGCTGTGCATGGATTTCATTGATAAGTAAAGGTAAGACAGCAATAAGATGTTTTTTTGGGGGGTTTTTTTTATGAAATGTGCGTTTTGTGGGCTACAGTTTGTGTCTAAATAATTCAGTAAAGTAGAAGCGGTAGCTAATCTACCACAGCAATTATTTATTAATTAAACATTAAGCCTAAAACATACTACTACAACAGACTAAATGTTCTGTTCTGTGTGAAAATATCTTGAATTTTTTTTTGGTGTTAAATCCTAAAACATGAAGTGGCATTGTTGTCAGTTGCTATGGCAACGAGTCTGCGTAGCTTGACGAATACAGATAACTTTGCTGTGGATCATAGCACGAAATCAGTACCTACATTTCTAAGTTTCACTGAGTTAACGCGGCTATTGATGACATGTAAATTATTAATCTTTTTGCCCTCCAGCGTTGTATGCATGCGCGAAATTTCCATACGTCCAAAAACATGCATGGTGTCTAAGTCATAAGTCAGTGCCTCACCAGCAGTGAACCTCACCGCACGTCACTGATATATAAAATTATAAAGTGGAAGGAAAAGGATACCTTTTCAAAACATGTTCTGTCAACTGCAGACAGAAGTTTGTTGAATCACTTTTTACCATAATTGCAGCTGCATTCTTCTTTGTTCAATAGCTCAAGTCTAGCCAGACTGAATGAATAGTTTCTGTGAACATCAGTTTTCAATACTTATGCATATTCTTTAATGTAAAGTGTTCCAATGAAACTGGTGTTTTTTGTTGTTGTTAAAGTTTATTTCCAGGATGTTCTTGTATTTATCTCCGTTCATCTCTCCATTATTTCCCCACCCCTTTTAGAAGAAAAGCATTGTGATGGTTCACACATCCATCTGAACTGCAGATGAATGTGTGAACATTTCAGTATTAGTTTCCTAGTATTAGTTTAATATGAAGCTCCAGGTGAACTCAGGTGTGTGGTACCTGCAGTCAGGTGACCTCTGCGCCAGTCCGGACGAACAGTTAGTCAGTCCCGCTAGCCAGGCTCCGCCCCTCTGCTGCAGTTCAGTTAAGCGTTGGTCAGCCAGCACACTCGCCATGAGCTGCCTGTGTTTGTCAATGCTCTCAGGGACAGCCTGGACGAGATCATTGTTTCAACATTTTCAGACCTCTTTCCGACAAAGGACACAAAGCATGTGATGATGTAGTAACCGCAGTCAACCTTGATGTCATTCGGCATCTCCTCCATCTCCATGGACTGCAGGGCTTCTCCGAGCAGAGAGAGGGCGCTCTCACAACGCTCTGTCAGTTTCTCCAACCTCTGTTTAGGGGGGAGATGAGTAAAGCAAATGTGAAGGTTTGGTTGAAGCTTTCCTATTCCTGCCATTAGCTCGCCTTCTTCATTTTTGTGTTCATCGGCTTCACATAAACTAGAGGAATGAAAACTACAAACATTGTTTTTGGGGAAACTATCCCATCGGATTTAATCAAGAATGTACGGAAGAGGATTACGGCCACCAAAAATAAATAAATAAATTATAAGATTTTGACTTTAACTCGGAATTTTGGCACTGTGCCAATCTACATCAAAATCCAAATAAATAACAAAACACTTTAGGTGTATGTCAGTTGTTTACTATATGGAAAATAATCACTAAACTGATTAAAATCAGAATTCTGAGAAAAAAAAGTCAGATTTTTTTTTTTTTTTCCCCCAGTGGCCCTAATCCTCTGAATGGAACAAATGTCACCAAAACAAAGCGAAGCAGGATTTTTACCAGTCTGAATGTCAGCCAGTCTGAGTGAGTGTGACTGAAGTCTCCGTCCAGCTGTTTAGGGAGCTGCTGACTGTCTACATATTGCTGAAGGACTCCTGTACCGCGCACAATGTGGGTCTGAGGAGAGAATGTAAAGATGCAATAAAACATTAGCACCAGGACAGGATGAGAAAGTCTGGCAAACAGTATCATAAGCAGTGAAAAACGAGGTGAAAATCCAGGAGAACTCTTCTCTCCTAACAGCTTTAACATCATTTGGGCGGGATTTTCCTTTAACAACCAAAGGTTTGGTGCTGCCAAGCCGTAATGCAAACCACATGTCACAAAGAAATTTGCTCTGCAAGTGTGCATGAAAAACATGTGAGCTGACAGATGCAAGTTCTGACTTGATTCATAGAGGAACTTGCAATGTGTAAATGTGCAGCATGCACCCCGAGGCTTAAGCACAAAGTGAATTTATTCCAAGGCAGATGGAATCCAACATAATATAACTAGAAGAACTCAGAATAGAAAATCTGATTATAGTTATGTTAAAGAGAGAGGTTTCTTTTTTGTAACAGCGTTCTGTTGTTTAGTTTCAAGGAAGCAGTAGCTTATGTGTAGCTAACAGCTGTCTGAACAAGTTTTATGTGGTGAAATATCAGAAATAAATTTGAATCTATGAGTTAATAACTGCTGGGTTCAGATTAAATAAAAGTAGTTTTCTGGTAGGTTAGGTAGGCTTACACATCCATTCGTAATGTCTACTGCAAGATGGTGAAAACAGGGCAAAATCACTGAAATGCACCAAAAAACCCGAGGTGGTATGGATTATGCTCTTACATCTTATTGTTATGTCGGACTTGCCTGGCTTACTTAGTTATTGTTTATATTCATTAAAATCCAACTGTATTAAAATAAGAACATTGTTAGCAAAACATAAATTCATAAAAAAAAGAAACAGAAAGTTGCTGCCCCCGAAACTCAGTGCTCTGAGCTTCCACCCCAGTGAGGCCTTTTTAAAGTCTGGCCCGGCCCATAATGTATCATCTTTTAAACATTATTTGTAAGAGGCCATAGGCCTCCACGCCTTTTCGAAATAAAACTTGCATAAACAGCAACCATAATTGATGTAAAAAACATAATTAAAAATCAGTTTTGGAAATGGCCATTTGCTCAACTTTAAAGTAAGAACTACTCACTGATTTTTCAGACTTAGGGAGATTATAATACTGTCTGGTGCAGGTAAGACGGTGACATTTAGAAGTACACTTAACACTTAATTAAATTTTCTTTTAAAGTTACTCTTAGGATGAGAAATATAGTTAGCAATAGTTCCCTTCCCTAGAATAGAAAGACATCATGTTGCAGTGAGTTTGTAGAAAACTCTATAAGTCCTCTCAGTTTTGGAACATTAGCAACTAGTAAGCTGGACCCACATTTACATGAGTTTAGCCATTTTCAAATACTCTAAAAGTTTTCACATTTGTGTGAAACAGCGATATTTTCCTAGATATTGTCACCTCTGTCCCATCTAGAGCTAAGGAAAGGGACTCCTGCTGCTCCTCCATCAGGACCAACACGGACCCTAGACCGCCAGGAACCAAGACCTGGAACACACACAGAAAACACATGCGTCTGTGCTACCAGCCCTTTTGTAGGACAATTAAAGCACACAAGCAAAAAAAAAAAAAAAAAAAAAAAAAAAATGGCACATTTGTCTTAACAACTCCTTTGTTTTCCCTTCGCCTCACCTGGAACCGTTTAAGAGCAGAAAGGCAAAGACTAGATGGTTGGGAGCATCTGCTGTCTATTAGCACAGTTAGTCCCTTTTCTTTGGCTTCGGGCCTGATGGGGGATGATAAACAAAGGTGAATGTAAGATTAAAACAGTTTTTAAAGAAAACGTGCTTTCAAAGAGCCACAGTGGTCAGAAAAGTTTGTAAATCGGAAAGTATTTGTTTAATATGAGGCGTGTAAAAAGCTTAAGACAAAGAAATACCTGTTAGAACATCAATGGCCTCTTTCACAAACAGTCCTCACCATAAACCCGCAGAGACAAGCCCCAAATCACAAATCAAGCTCTTGATATCCTGCACACCTGTGAGCTTTAACCCTCTTAAGAGACGGGGTCATTTAGACCCCACGAGTTTTTTACTCCGTGCGCAGTCCAGCAACCCCCGCTGGACTGTGCAATTCAAAATCTTCCCCATTTTGAAGAGTGGCTAAGAGAAATGTTGGTCATTAAAAGTTCCTCAACACTCTACCTTTAAAAACTAAAAAACATGCATGGGTTTCAAATATTTTTTATTGCAGACGTTGTGTGACGAATGCTTAGGGTGACTTTATCCTATTGCAATCAAAGATTATTTCTGGGCTTTTTACATCTTCACCAGCATTGTCAGTAGAGGTGGTGTATGTTGTTGCTGTTGTTATACAGACAAACATTGAGAAATAAGAAGATCATGTGCCAGAATCAGAACAATATTTAGTGGACACACACAAGCTCACCGAGTGATCCGGTGGTAACAGGAAAGAACCCGCGCCACCTCCTCCGAGCAGAACCCCTCCTCAGACGCACCTGCATCTGTGAAAACCAGAGCTCGCCCCAATCTGTCCACTGTACCTGTAGAGATGAGGTGTCTGTAATTAAAGGTAAACTGCTACCCTGTCTCTATGTGACAGGCTTGTTTGGGAGAAATGCAGAATAAACAGGAAGGACTGAATGAAAGGAGGTCACCTGTCAGCTGCAGCTTCCCTGACTGAAGTAATTCTGTATCCAGTTCCCTTAAAAGTGCCGGCTCTTTAGAGGTAACACCATTTATCTGGTCAGGACACGTCTCCGGTGATCCAGCCTCCACAGTCAAGTGGTTAAATGAAGATGTGCTTGACTGACCATTGCAAACAGGCAACGATCCATCTTCTGTGTCAGCTGGAAGATGGAAAAAACAGAAATAGCACAATAGGAATACCAGGGAGACTAAAAAAATCAAATATTACTGCGGCTGAATAGGTTTTCCCACCCACCTCCACTGCCGTTCCTTGTGTTTTCTTTCCCTTTAGTGTCAATTGTGGGCACTCCATCAGGTTTACCAATCTTTTCTGTTTCCTCTGCCTTCCTTTCCTCTGGGATTAGCAGCTTTGTAGTTGCAGAGTGGGCTGTGGGACTTGGCAGAGGACTTTTACCCTGTAGTTTTGTGCCTTTTTGGTTTTTGCCACCAGACCTAGCCTTTCCTTTGGCGCCCTTTCCCTTCCGTTTCCTCCTAAACACAAAGCACAGGAAGATCTTACTGAGGTTACAGTAGAGGGGATAGAGTATCATTTTTTCATTAGTTGGAGGTTTCTTTGTGCCATCCAATTCAGTGTAATACGCATGTGTAAGAATAAGGAAAGTATGTAATCTGTCATGTAACATTTCCATACCGTGGAGCTCTGAATCCGGCTGTTTTAACTTCTTTTCCTCTGGGACACACTCTGTCCTCTGTCTGCCCTTCAGTCCTTTCATCTGGAATCTTCGGCTTCGATGAGTTCCTTGTCTTAGACTGAACATTGGCTGGTTCTTTGCTTCCAGAGACTCCAGTAAATAGCCTCTCTGGTGCGTCCGATGTTGGCGTAACAGCGTCGGTGTCTCCACTCAGTGGTTTATCTGCATCCTCAAACACAGAGTCTGAATGTGAGCCATGATCCGATTGGCCCTCAACGTCATGGCCACTTTTATGGCTTAAGTCGTAGATTTCGTTTGCTATTAAGCTGTCGCTTCTCTGGGAGTCTTTATTTTGGTGTCCATCTCGGGACGGTTGTGGGAACCCGTTGCTGTCTCTTTCCTTGCCCACACCAGGTCTCCTTTCTTTCAGTGGAACATCAAAATAATGGCTGTGGCTTTCCAAGCTATTGTTATCCCTGCTTGTTTTATCTCCTTCATCTGAGTCATGAGCAGAGGAGGAGTAAGACGGTCTTACTCTGGCAGATCCTGAAACCGTTGTTGGAGGCTTTGGCGGTAGCAAGACATCCTTTGGATTTGCCTCCTTCTCCTTGGTACTATAGGCACCCCGAAAGCTTCCCGATCTTTCAGGTTTTGCATAACCCCAAGCTTTTCCTTTGCGAAGTTTGATGGCCTTACCTCTCCTGCATAAGGGCAAAGTTCTGGTCTTACAAATCCCGTGCATCTCCAAGTACCTCTGTTTGGTATCAACCCCTCCATCAGGTCCTCCTCTGGGCTCCAAAAGCTCCACATAATCCCCATCCATCTGAGGCTGCCTCGCAGTCCGCCCAAGGCCGTCTTCACTGCGCCGCCGTCTGATGGCAGGGTCCGAGCCCATGCAGTTTGGTGGTAGACTGTCATCATCTTCATCGTCCCAGGACCAGGAGTCCATGTCTCCTGAGGAGGAGCCACCCCACCCTCCGAGGCTGCTGCCCCCCTCACTGGAAAGGCGGTTGGAACCCAGGCCAAGCTCCTCAGAAGGGTCATGGAGGAACTTTGGGTAGACTATTTCCTTCCACGGCACTCTTACCACGCCATCACATGTGCTGACCAGACAGGTGTCGAGTCCCCCTCCAACTAAGCAAAAGATGGCAAAGGATGGAGTTCAAACAAAAATTGTATTTAAAAAAGTGCCTCTAGTTTACAGTTATGCTAAAAAACAACCTAATCTGATTCTATATTTTTAGATTCCAGGAGGTAAAAAAATGAGCTGGAGAAATGTAAATATTACTTCAGATAAACTGAACATAACTTAGTCATTGCTTAATGTTTACACAGAGAATCTAAATTATAAGCCTGAATAATTTATTCCAAACAAACTATAACATTGATTCACTGGTTTAGTTGGTTGTTTGGTTTATTCATAGGTCATAAACTGTCACAACAAACAGTCGTTTTTTTATTGTTAAGGTTTCTCTTACAAAGGCTCTTCTGTTATTTCTAGGCCTGCTAGAGTATGATCAGTGTTGAAGTGTTTTGGCTGCTATAGTTTGCAAAATTTCTCTTTCAGGAAGTTCACAGTCACTTCAAACAAAGCCAAAGGGATAAGTGTTTTCCAATCCTTGGCTCAATGGATGCATGTCCACTTAAGATGGAGAACGATTGTGACCTGGATAATAACTGGCTTCCATGCTGTTCTGAACGATCAGGCTCAGTTCTGCAGACTCACTTATACAATTATCATTTGTTTCATGGCTTATTAAGTATAATTTTGTGAGCACAAACTTCAAAATGGCTCAACTCGCAGATGCGTTGCCTTGAAAATGATTGTCTTTTCTCTTTAAAAGAAAAAGCATAACTGGATTTTGAAATGCTGAATATCAACAAAATGCTAAACTCTGTATTTAACGATCTCAAAACATGAAAATCAGGAGGGAAAAATAGCTTTGTAGCTGAGTGTTGCTTCCTCTTTTAATGTCAGTCAGACAGATACGACCAATCGAGAAAGTTTACCTTCTCTCTTGTGACCCCGTTCTTTGTTGATGCTGTGGAGCCACTCGGAGGTGAACACCAGGGGATGCTGTGACTCGGGCACCAAGATTTCTTGCACAGTACGACCCCCTGGTGCCAGACATTTTAGGGCCAGTCGTGGGCAGCGAGTAGAAAAGGGTACCACCTGCAGGTAGAAGTCATTACTGCGCAGGAGCCTCCAGTCCAAGGTGGAGAGCTGGACAACCACTTTCTCTCCCAGGCAGAGGGGCCAGCCGGAGTGAAGGAACAAGCATCCCAAATACTGAGACTGGGAGATAATAGGGCATATAGATTAGCGAGAGACAAAAAAAAAATATTTACAAAATGTATATTTTGTGAACCAAGTCTTTAATTTGAACATCATCAGAGTCATTTGTTAATTAATACAGTCTGTAAGTCTGAAACATAATGGTTATTTTCATAAACATTCTCAGAAGTTATGAAAACTACATAGCTTCCAAATTTTACCTGGTAAAATGTTACCAATTTTTACCTAATTTTACCTGGTGTTTTTCCAAAATTTACCTGGTACTTTTCAGGAAAGTAATCGGTGAGGTCTGGATTGACAACCAGGATGGTTCAGAAAAGTAATCAGTACATTCTATAAAAGAGCAGCTTTTCATTCAAAGGAAAACAACTTTTTAATCAACTCACAATACAGCCTGGTTCCTGAATGTATTCACTAAGTTCAACAAAGGTGCCCAAACATTCCAAGAAAAGTCCATGAAAATACTTTGTTAGTTCCAGAAACTAAGTACTGAGAAAATACCAAATTTAAAATGACATTATAAAACAACCTGAATATACCCAGTAAATTCCAGAATAGTACTCATTAAGTTTTGGGAAACAACCCCGTAATAATACTTGAAAAAGTTTGAGGAAAGTATTTCAAATTTTCCAGAAAAGTAACAAGCATGGTAAATAAAAGTTTCAGTTTCCAGGAAAGTAACATGTAAGTTTTAGGAAAAATATCAGAAAAAGAACCCAGTAATGTCTGGAAAGTACAGATAAAGCTCAGAGATAAAACCTAATAAGTTCCATGAAAGTTCTGGAAAGTAACCTCTAAATACCAGATTGATACGAGCTGTTTTATCCCTCTGCCACAATCTTAGACCCCCATCTCATGAGAGGCAAGGGTAAGTTTCTACCTGCTTTGCTTCAACTTAGCCACTCTGACAAACTGAATTTCTAGAACCTATCCCGCACTGGACAGTAACAGGGTTGATCAACTGGCCTAATGTTTGTACCAAAGAAAACCTTATGACTCATGTGACCTTTCCGATTTGTACAACTGCTTTGATGAATTGAGACAATGGGGAGAACTGTGGAGAACTGTGAGTCAGACAACAAGCTACAGGTGACCAACTCAACACAAAGCCCCCTGGCTCATAGGAGGAAAATACGAGTTGACAAAGCAGTATGAGAGAAGAACATTTGTTTAACTCAATTAGGGTAAAAAAGACTCTTTACCTGGAAAGACTTTAAGAATTTGGGCAAAGAATGGAGTCCTGCAGAGGCCTTCCACTGCTATTACTGGATTGATCTATTACAGTAATGCTCCCTAATGAAAGAAGTAACTCGAGGTCAATGAATGCTGTGTCAGATCTAGATCTCAGCTCGTAAAGCCTGAACTCAGCTTTGCTATTCTCAGTCACGTCTAAAACACTGACCCGGTGCGGCTCCCTTCCCTCCAGACACAAGAGACGTGATCACATTAAATTCTTTCCTCCACCTCTCCTCCATGTTTCCTACTCTTACCTCGCTGCCCGTTATTTAATTTCTTCCTCTTATGCCTTTCTTTTGTCTCTTTCTGAGTCTTTTCTCCAGCTCAGGGCAAGCTTCAGGCAAGTAGAAGGCTAATGTATTTCAGAGCTGGGCATTAGCGTAATAAACAAGTCCACATTCTGAAACTTTCTGTGTCCTGCGGTCCTCTCCACCCACTTTTCACTCAATGTACGCCTGTGTCTGCGCCTTCTCCCCCCTGCTGCCCTCAGCTCCCACTTTACAAAATTTCTCAATCACACCACTATGGTCTGCAAAATACATCTTCCCCCATTTTTTTCAACCACTCAACACAAGCACAGTGAATGAAGGTCATGTTCATTCTCTCCATTCTCTCGTCCAAAGCCCCACTGCCGCTCTGCGAGTTCCTCCTTCTCTCACAGCAGTAACCCAATCACATATGGAAGGAATTATTGTCATGACTCAGAGTCTGACTCCCGTCCCAGGCAACTCCACTCAGCGACAATGAAAACATCGCTCGCTCACAGCCCCTGCATGCGGACGTGTATATTACCGAGGGTCTAGAGAGGAAAACTCTACAGAGAAATGCGAGAAAGCTGAGGCACGAACCCTTGAACTGGAGCCCATCAGTTGTTTTGCCTTCGAGTGTCTCACAAAGTAAAATGAAAGAGCTGCTAAATTTAAGCGTCAGAGTTTTGCTTGAGCATGTAGTGCTTATCATTTGTTTGGCTAGTGCAATCCCGAATTTGCTCGATTTAGACAAATTTCGCAAATGGTTGTCTTTAACATAGTGTTTTACTTTTAGGGTTAAAGGCCAGGGGTCAATTGAAGTGTTGAATTAAAAGGCAAAATATCACACTTATGCTTCATTTTTCTGCATGTTGGTCATTTCTATCTTTTCTGTGTGAAACATCTTAATCGGCGAATTTAAAACATTTTCTTACAGTCTTGTCCTCACAAAAAAAGTTCTTCAAAAGTTCTCATCATTCTTGCAAAACCACAAAACATGATCCAAATTTATAGTAACTAACACTGGCCTGTATGTGGTGCTGCACTGCAGTCAATTAAATAAAAATAAGACCAAAGAAGAAGGTAATCTGTTTTGGTTTTCTACATGAAAATATAGGTATATACTCTCCTGTATTGGAACACAATGCTTTGTGTTCCAATAAGTATTGTCTCCGGTCTTTCATTTTGTTTGTTGGATTTGTTTGGATGCAAATTTGGGATGGTGAAAAATCGTTTGTCTAGTGACATGGTCAAGCATGTGTTAGACTGAAAATACTTGCAAACGGTATGTCAACGGCTAATGCTTATAATTGCTTTTAAAGGTTTTTCTGGCTTAGGAAGTGTACTTTGTCTCAAATTACCACAAATAATATAACTTTGGTCTAAACACGAGGGAATTAGAAGATATTTCTGGTAATAGGTTTGGTTCGACTCATACTCCTGGCAGACTTAGAATCAAAATTATTTTAATCCCACCCAAAATCTTTAGTTTTGCTAAGAAATGAGACGGCCATTTCTCAAAATAAAATAAAGAAATATAAAAGGAGATACTGTTTGAGAAACTAAACATCGGTTTTGATTTTCATTTTCACTGATCCACAGAAAAATCTCTATTATCGTGACAGTATTCTGATAAATTCTGACCATGTTTCTGTTGGTATTTTTATTTGGTGATAAGTTCAAAGTCTTTGAGGCAGGAAGGCTTCCTCAACATCAACCTATTTTTTCTCTCCTTCTACTGATTCATGATCAGATTGAGTCTGGATGCTAGTTTAGCCGCTCCAAAACTTTTTTACTGAAGAAACATTAATAAAAAAATATTCCTTTATGCCTTAATCTACCAGGAGTATGAATTATTTTGTCCCTAATTAGTTAGTGTAAGGATGCCTATAAGTTGTAGATTGAGGTGTCAAAATGTTTCTATTTTGCGTCTCTTTAAAGTTGTCTTGATCTTTGAATTTAACTTACTCAGACAGCTGCATCATGTTGCGATACTTTGTAACCATTTTGTTTTTTTTATCAATCATTTGCTTCTTCTTGTACTTGTATCACTTCTACATTGCTTTTTTTAATCACATACCGTGTTTGAGGTCTTTCTTACTTCAATTGTACAAATTATCAAATTGTTCCACGTTTTCTCTCTCTCTTTAGTCTAGTCTTGCATCGCCTTTCATTCTTTTTTTGCAATGCATCTTGTTTTTGTCACTCTCTTGATCATTTTGTTGTGCTTTTGGTAGTTTCAGTTCTTCAGCTTTTCAACCTTTGACCCATCGGATACATGGCCAGTTGGTCCATTTGGTAACTCATCCCTTTGTCTGCCTGTAAATCCTAAAACATAAGGTGAGGTATTTCTCTATAGGCCTACGTACTGGATTCAAACTTCAATGAGCAAGAAATGTGTTTTAAATATTTACGATGCACAGGTCTTCACTTTAGAACTCAATAATAACCTGAAGATCAGATTAGAAGTTATCAGAAGAAGAAAAAACCCAATAAGGCATCGTCCTTCAGAATTTGAGTAGATGTGTCTCCTATCTCAGCTTACATGAACTTGACCTCATGTTAATCCTCATGAAGAAAACATAAATATCGACTTGGATGTGTCTAAGCCGACTTTAAATACTCCATTTATTTCTCTAAACTCAGCTGAACGACCCTGCGACCTCTATAAAGCTTAAGACTCGATTTGCTTTGACGACTCGAGGCTCGACTTGGACCGACTGGTCAACCGCCTGTCCCCGGGGGCGCGAGCGTAAACATCGCCGGAGGACAACTTTCACCAGAGGATTCAAGAAGCTGACACATTTCCCATAGCAGACTTCTTGCATGTGACAGCAGATTCTGCTTCTGATTATGCGTCGCTGTGGGTGTTCTCGCTATGCAGCGCGCTTGCTCTTTGGAACTCACACAGGCATGCTGCTGAAGCTTGTGCAGGAGATGCTTGGCAGGTACGAAATAGTCCAGGAGGTAGCGTAGGCTGTCGTGTTGATAGGTTGACTCCAGGACCGAGAAGACCTGCAGAAACAATGGAGGATCAGAAAAGAAATGGACAAAAAAGAAAAAAAAAATACTAAGGTTAAAAACTAGATATGAGTATTTGGTATTATTTGGTCCAATTTTGTTTTAATGTTATAACCATAAACTGTGAAAAACCAAAAGTACCATTACATAAAGGAATGCTTGTTTTTCTTGTTTATTTATTCATTTATTTATTTATTTATTTTTTTTACATTTTTCACCAGTACGAGTATAAGAAGCATGCTGTGTATTTGCATTTTGCCTCCTGCGGCAACAGATTGCAATACTACCTGTAATTACAGTTGCAGGTCTTTCAGAGTATTTCTCTACCACCTTTTCTCATCTAGAGACCAAACTGTTTTTCCCATCTGTCTTTGCTAAATGGATCCCGACCAGTTAGACTTGATGCAAAGCGTCTGGGAACATCAATTTTCAAATATTGCTTCCTATTCTCATATGGGTTTAGGAGTGAACATTGACTGGGCCCCGCTAACAGAGGTAGATCTACACCTCTTTTCAAGGTTTACATCCTTTGCATGTAAACCTGTTTTTCTTAAAACACTATACTCCATTTTACTCCGTCAAGTCCGACCCTGCTTTTATTTTGGGGTATGCAAGTAAGAGTATATGAAAAACAATTCACATCACACTTTTTAGAATAAATTTTGTCAACAAAATTAACTAAAAACCTTATAAGGTCATAATTACCCACTACTATTTGTTAGACAATACATACAACATAGATTAGTTTAAGTCTCAGGCAATCCTGAAACAAAGGAAAGGTTGAAGGGGTGTCAATACCCTAAAAGCCATGGGTTGTTATGGTCATCGATTTGGCTTTGTGTGGGAAAGCTCTGAGACCGTGACCTGAGATCACATCAGCAAAACTGCCATTTCGTCCATGGTAACAAAGAAAACTGGTTGGAAACAAAGCAATTACTGAAGTTCAGTAACCGATATAGTCTGAAGTACACTCATTTGCTATGGGAAAATGAGAGCAATTGTGACTGAAATTTTGCAGGTCTAAAAACTGAAAATCCACAACAAATCTGAATCACCCTCGGTTACAACTTCCAGATGTCTAAAAGTGTCTTCTGCTTCCAATAATACGCCAATATAAACATCATGGACATGTCCAGTCATCATCCTGTTGAGGAAGGAGACTGAGTCTGGATCCCTAGTATCAACATGTTTTGATGTGAAACATGCCTCTCAATCCAAGAAGAAGAAGAGCGCACGACCTTGCGACGATACTGACTTTAGCTGGAGAGAGAGTTTCTATCCACAGGGAAGCAAATCCTGCACCCACATGGGCTGGAAGGCCACTTAGGAAGGAAAAGGTCATCAATCCAAAGGCAACATCACAAGCTGGTTGACAGATGGCATCATGGGGAAAGAATAGTGAAGCAACATCTCAAGACATCACCCATGAAGCTAAAGCTAAAGCTTGGGTTTTTCTACTGTGCAATGCCACCAGGTTGGCTACAAAGTAGTCACAAAGGTAATGTTTGCAAATGGCACATCACAGAGCCCTGACTTTAGTTTCATTTACGATATCATTTGTGGGCAAAACTTTAAGGAAGGTGTTATATGAGATATGTAGTTCACAAACTAACTGTCACAACAGCTCTGTCAGAAGGAATAGGCTATACTTCAAGCAATCTTTTGAGAGGTACATGTGGAAAATGTGTAACTTAGGTCATTCAGCAATTCTACCTATTGGTTAAATTTTGGTTGAGTGCTCCTTTTCTAACCCCGTCATTAACCGAGTTGTATGAACTTTTGGAAACTTGTAGCCTTGCAATAAATGTACAGCGAGTGCTTTTCATTTTACCTGAGAGAGGAGGGGTGGCGCCGTGCTCTCGAACGGCGGATAAAGTGACGAGAGCGCCCCCTGCACGCAGTCCTCCATTGCCTCCGAACCCTAAGAGACACAGACAGTGAGGAAAGGGTTAATAATCCCAAAGCGGACCACTTGATTGGACTCTCACGTCTGGGTTTGAGTCCTGCTGAACAGCCGGCTCCTCTCCCTCGATGCTGACACCCACACATATTAATATACACAGATACGCCGCTTTCAGCTTCCTGTTGTAAGATCTGGGGAGTGTCAAACATTTCCCCTGCCGGCCAGTGACCCCCCTCCCCTTCCACGCCCCCCCCTCTTCTGCCCTTAGTTCAAAACAAAGTGCAAACTCCCCCGACAGATGCAGATGCGCGTGCATCTGAGAACACGGCTCCGGCGAAGCACGAGGACCTCGCTGTTTATTTTTCTGCTTGTGCTGTTGGCATGGCAACCTGTAACTTTTTTTTTCTTCCTCCCCTCACATTTCCCCTTAGACATTCAGTCTGTTTCTCTCCGTGTTTTCCTACGCTCCCTCCTCCAATACCCAAATCATCCTCCCCTCCACCCCAATGAGGCGCTGAACCTCGCCTCGACAAGCCTTTCTGTCATCTGACAACAATTACGTCTGGATTCTCCATACACTGGGCCGAACAATTACAACGAACGAAAGGGGATAGATCGAAAGCGGTCGTAAAAGACGAAACAAAGAGAGCAGGGTCTGTGGAAAAAAAGACGAGTGGCGAGTGAGAGACGGCCAGGAATGAATGAGCTGGAAGCGGTGTGTGTGTGTGTGGGGGGGGGTATTTTATGGCAGAGGAACCGGGTTCAGGAGCAGGAAGAATTATTCTCTGGGTTTTGTTTTGTGTACATAGACGAAACGCGGTTAGCCACGCTGGAGGGCAGAATGAGCTATATAAACAGGAAAGTATTTGAAAGAGGTCGGAGTTTTTTAATGTGGCTACCTTCTTGTCCAACTTTTGACAGATAGGTATTGAGAAAATAGAGCCGAGAGTTCAGGTTCAAACAAATGTCACGTGCAGTTTCCAGTTCCAGTTTCCAGTGTCTGAACAGAAATCTCAAGCTCAGGAAGTAGAAAGGCGCTGGATAAAAGTTTGAAATTTGTTTTTGCAAAAGTTGCTTAGACTCCATTTACTGCCGATAATTAGCTAAACTACCAGCTTGTATGGAAAGCAAATGGCAGCAATTAACAGCGGACTGGTGCTGGGCACAGACAAGCTAACAGTTAAACTTACGTAAGTGTTGGTGGACAACAGGGATTAGTTTTCCAGATACAAATACGATTATTACTTTGGGTCCTGGTGAACAAAACTTCAGTAAACTAATGTGTGAAACTAGATACTTAATTCTTAACTTTTCAAACAAAATAAGAGAAAGGAAAAAAACTCCCTTCACTTGAAAAAAAAACATACAGATTAAAGTTTTTGTTACATTATGGCCACAAATTTCATTGTATTTTATTGGAATTTTTGCTGCAGTTTTAACTTTTGGGGTCAGATTGGATGGAAAATCTTCAGTGAACTAATCTCAGTCTGAGTCATCAACTGGCCATTGAATAAATAAAAAATATTCAAAGGAAAATACTTTGCCACGGTCTGTAGTCAAAATCCAGGTGTAAGTATAATTGAAATTCTGCCCCTTTAGAGACCTTGAGAGAAATGAATGTCTTCCAACATTAATAAACTGGAGCAACAGAAAGAAAAATGTGCCACAATTTCTTCACAGCAACGTTAGCGACTAATAGTTTTTCTCAAGAATTTTCCCTTGACATTCTTTTGCCTCTACCCGTTAACTTGCATTCCTTTTCCGAACCAATTTGAGTTGTTAGTGTTCACATGCCTGTGCACACGAGTTTCTACAAATGTTTAGATTCAAAAATGTAACTTGTCTGTTTATGTGCAATGGTTGCAATAATGGAGAAGGAATAAGATGGATCAAAGCTGCTTTTAGCAACACAGCAACGAGGCGTATCATTGAGTATGCAATAATATGTCACGAATTTAAATTTTAAAACCTCTTGTCGTTCATTGTCAAAGCTACCCAAGAACTCAATTTGCTAAGAGACATGAAAAGATCCTCAAGTAAAACCTGGTAAAAATCTGCTCAAATAAAGACTTATTGAAGTTTTCAAGCAATTAGTACCACCAAAGCATCAAATATCCCCAAAAAAGATGACAGTATAGTTTAGTGTCGAAAATGTCACCATTTCTAATACTTTTGTGTGGAGTGTCTTGCAAACGTGTTCATATCCTTTCGTAAGAAAGAAGTGAAAGGGAAAAGAACTTCCTCATAAAAATGTGGAAACTATGATGTTCTTTTTGCATTTAGCCCCCGTGAGTCAGCGCTTTGTAGAAGCACCTTTCTTTGCTGCTGAAGCTTCAGATCTTGTGGGTTATGTCTTAACCATCTTTGTACTTCTAAAAACGGATATTGTTGCCCAGTGCGCTTTATGACATAGCATGAGATCGGTCAGAATGGGTAAGCAGCATCTGTGAAAATCAAGTTTCGAAAAGCCACAGTCTTAAATTTGTCATTCTAGCCAACTTCTTGCAGATGAAAAGTGGAGCAAGCCAGTGAAATATTTGCTTTTACAAGCTCTCACCTCCTCAACCTTGGCGATGGGGAAACTGGTTATGTTGGATTAATATTATTTCAGTATGGACGGAACTGTGAATACCGTGTCCGCTCTCGTAAATGTCAACGTGACGGGAAACATTTTATCGCTTTGTCCCGTTTCTCTCCACCACTGTTATTTGTCGCGTGCGTATGTGTGTGTGTGTGTGTGTATGTGCTGCAAAGTGCTCCTACAGTTACAAGTTTGCAAGAAGAATAAGAAGAAGGCTTGAAAAAGCTGCTTTTACTCAAGATTCTATTTTTTATGAGACTGAAAGCGGTTTAAAACCAATGTTGGAAGAAATCCGCTGAAGCATCAAATAAACTGGATGTAAGGGATGAAGATAACTGGCAAAACATCAAACCTGTGAGTAAATGTGAGTTGGAGAAGTTTAAAAAAAGAAGCAAAAACAGCCGCAGACTTGCGAAAAAAAAAAAAAGATTGAGAGAAGCAGACAAATTTTCAGTGAGTGAGAGCTCAGACAGAAAGAAAAAAGGAGGAGGCTGACCAGCGGGAGAGATCGATGGGAAACGAGAGCAGCGGTAACCATGATGGGAACCAGATGTACCAGAAGGACACGAGGAAGAGCAACGGATCTGAGAGGACTTTGCAAAATGTGGAGCTGATAGAGGAGGACAAGATTAGAGGACGATTTGGGGGGAAAAATGGAGAAGAAAAAGGGAGAAAAACAGACAAAGGGAAATGAGGACGAAGAAAAGTAAAGCAGTCGAGCCTGACAGTGATTTCCTCTCCTAAATTAGCTTTTGTAATCTAACCTAACCTATAGTGGGTCTTGCAGCCAGACTGCTTGAGGTTACTAAATGGCACCGCCAAGTGAAATCCAGCTAAGATAATAATACTGTCTTGATTTCTTCTGTAGAACAAAAACCATATGGAGTTGGTGATGATTGTGGTAGAGTTGCTATTCGTTTCGTGAATGTTTTTGAGTTAGCGAAGTTGAACCTCATCTAGTTTGATCAATGCTGCATTCTCGAAATTTTGGTTCACTGGGCACAGCTTTTTTTTTTGGTACTGAGAGGTCACACTTTTTAAACTTTGACCCGAGCAGAACCTTGCGGGAACAGACAGTTTCTGTTGATAGCAGGAGGGAGTTGTGGTGCGGATATAGCCAGAGAGAGATAAGCGGCTCTCAAAGTGTGCCCAATTAGTTAAGTGCTCACTTTTGGTATCTCTTCTTCTTCTTATTATTCTTATTCTTATTATTCTTATTATTATTATTAAAAAGAATAAGAATGAGTAAAATGTATCTTTATACAGTTATAATCAGTTTCACATGGAGGCTTTTAACTGCTGAAGCTTGTACCCACATTCAGGAGCGGTTTCTCGTTTTATTGAGAAACTTTCCTATGAAAACGAGAAAATAGTTTTTTATTTTGACAAAACTAATTTTATGTCTCGTTATAATGAGAAACTTTTACTTGACTACGCCTCTAATATGACAAGTCATGATTATGACTTGCATAAAAAGACACATGAGCTCCTTCTTCTCACCTTGTTTCCTCTAGAAAACATCTAAAAAGAGCAGCAGATGTTGCTGTTTTACTGTTGTGTTATGTTTCTTTTTTAAAAAGTAGATATTTTGTTTTTTTATGTGACATAAACCTCGGTATAACAAGTATTGTAAATCTCGTTAAAATGAGAATGTTTTCTCATTATGACATGAAAGTAATTCAAATTTCTAAGCAAAACATGTATGTGTAAATATAAAGTTACAAAGTTCTTAATTGTCTGCATGATGATATGCAGCTGCCAGGATATGAACCAGTTCCCAGCATTTTGTGTTTTATGACACAAATTGTTATGACTCTCTGCTAAATATCTTTTTCTCCTATCAGCACAGTCTCACAGGCACAAAGGCGTTGTTTTCCCCTCGGATGCTTCCCACTTGTTGATTTCTTTTGAACATTGCTGTATTCCCATGTGCATTTTCTCTTTTTTCCTCCAACTAAATCCCCCCCCTCCCTTTTTGCTCTAATTTGCTGATCCTCTACAAACTCCCAGGGGAATCATCTGTTTTTAGCGTTTTACATGCTCCATTTTTTCCCAAATTGCTATCTTTGTTGGTTGTTTGGTTACGAGGAGATAAGTCATGTGGAAACATTGGTTTATCGGGGCATTTCCGCCCGTTAATAACGGGGCTAAAAGCAAACGGCGAGCTCCAAACGGATATCAGCAGCCGAAGCTTGATAAACTAATCCGCAACGGTGACGTTTGCGTCACTGTTGACTATTTCATTGCGTTGAGAAGATAAAGGATGATGAAGAGGTGGAATAGATGTGACGTGAAACACCAACAAGATTGGGATTGCTGAGCAGGAATGTACCCATCCTTGCTATGCCGCATGCACTGCGTTCTGGACAATTGCAGGAAACTCACGCTAGTGTGAGATTCCTGTGACTGACAACGCTGATTCTGATCGCGTCTGGTTTGTTATCTCCAGCCAGAGCTGTTTGCTTTAGCTTTCATTAGGCCAAATTAGGCGGTCCGCTGGCTGAAATCAAGGGCTGGTACATAACCTCTAGTTACAAAATCTTTCCAGACAGCAGCAATGGAAATACCCTCTGCCACATATTCTTGGCAAAGGAGTGTCAATGTTTGAACGGCTGTATAGCTGTGTGTATGTGTGCAGCAGAGGAGCTTGATGGTAAATTTTAACACCTACGTGTATATGAGCTAAGTTTCTATCATTTGCATCTATAGTGCCTCGTAAAAGTATTGACACTCCGGGAATCCTTTCACGCTTTGTGACGTTGCGACCTGTACGGCAGACCAAGACAAAGTGGTACATCATTGGCCGATTGCTAGAAAAGCATGTGTGGTTCTTAAGATGTGAAAAGTGAGATGTGGAATTTTGCTCAGGATCCTTGAGTCAGTACTTTTACCAGCAGCGTTCATCGCATTTCCAGCTGAAGCACTTCCAGGAAATGTCTCTACCAGAGAATGCCTGTGTTGTCTTCGCACCGTCGTACTTGGCATTATAGTTCAAACTCAGTCAATTTGGATGAAGACGATCTTTGAATGTCTTGCCACAATTTCTTAATTGGATTTATGTCTGGGCTTTGACTATTCCACTCTAACATATGGACATAATACGATCTAAACAATTTCATTGTATCTCTGGCTCTATGTTTAAGGGTTGTTCTCCTCCATCCATTTTCACATTGCCTCTAACCTGCTGGGAAAAAAAGCATCCCCAAAGCATAATGCAGCCACTGCCATGTGTCATCATGACAACACTGCGTGCTTTCTTCATTTTCATTTTTCACATATTTTCTGTTTGCAAAAGTCGACTTTAGGCAGGATTTCTAACAACTTTCTTCTAGCTGTGACTTTCTTCCTATCGCTCTTCCGTACATCTGAGGAGTCAACGACTTGCATTTGTTTTATTTGTCGTGTCAGCAGATTATCCCACCTGAGCTGTGGATCTCTGCAGCTCCTCCAGAGGCACAGTTACCTAGCAAACCCCTGATGTCTTCACAGAGCAAATGCATTTAAAAAGTGGAGCTCCATTTACTAACAAGGTGGCTCTTGAGGGTAAATGGCAGCCATTGTTTTATCTAGGCGATATGTGGAAAATACATGCCACACTTTTCAAATTTTTATTTTATTTCTTAGCATTCTAACTTGCAATTATTCATTGCTTTCCTTTTTTTGTCTATTACAGGGACTCTTCAAACCTTTAAATAGAAATTACATAGAACCAACTAATGTTTTTTAAGTACATATATAATAGGAAAT